GTTAACTACACAGCACACTCTGCTCTCCAGGATGCCCTATTGTATTTGGAGGTTGATTGCAGGAAACTATTCCAGTTAATATGAGTGTGCATCATCATGCCATGGCTGGGCTACAGACTTGGCAAAAAAGTTACAGAGAATTCTGTGGAATTGAACATAGGCAGTGTGCTGTAGCAGAAGGATGGTGTGTTTTGTGTGGTCTTCAGGGGTCATCTTTACCCTGTCTGGCCTCACCTTTGAAAGTATAGTGCACTAGCTTCTTTCTTGAAAAGTTCACTGTATATCTGCTGTGTCAGGCATTCGTGACATGCTTTTCCTTTTTTTTTTTTTTTTTTTGAAGATGTTCTGTAATTCTAAATCAAGTAATTTATTTTTAGTGGTGCAATAAAAGGTTGCTCAAGGAAGTAGTGGTCTGGCAAGGAAAAAAGCCTCATTTCTGAGGAGTGACTCAACTGGTTTCATGCAGAGGACATTCCTTTTAGTGCTAGTGCCAGACCAGGGCAGAACTTGCTCACCTTTCACTGAGAATGTCCTTTTACTTCTGTTGAAACATTCGTGTTCTGCAAAAGTTGCAGTCTCTCTTCAGATGAAGGGGAGATTGGGAAATCTGGCAGAAATTGATCTAATTTATGAATCAGAGAGAGCTGAAAAAAAGGTGATATGTGTTAAAGGCTTTCTGAGTCAATATAGTGCTGCTGCTGTATATTAATATTAGTATTTTATATTTTTATATTTGGTCTTTACTGATGTCCTCTCATGGATATAGTGATAAGATTAGCTCCTTTGGTGTTTTCCTGGGGGATCCCTTCTGGGAGCCGTCAGGTCTGCAAAGGAGGAGACTCCTGCAGATGCTGGACACTGGAAGGAGTTAGCATCATTGCTGCCATCAGTTTGTCCATAGAGATGTATTTAGAGAGAGATTCCTGGTGCAGGATGCACAGCCCTCAATGCAAATCCCCAAAGGCTGGTCCCTGGTCAGGAGAAAGGACCTTTTACTATAAACTGCTTGATGTCTCCCCTAGTTTCCTCTGTGGACTATTACAGATTGGCCCAGATCTGGGGACGTATCTCCTGCCCTGTGTAGACCCCTCGGTGGAGTGGCTTTTCTGTACTGGCTCGCAAAGGATACTTCTTCCTGCACCTGTCATGTTAACTGGCTGTTGAAGTAAGTGTCTGTGTCTAAGCAAACTGCTGTGCTCAATCCCAGTATCTCCATGTCTTGTACATGCTGAAAAAATTCTCTCTTTGAAAGTATTTTTGTTAAGAATGCAATAAATATATAACACTTTTAACACAGCTGCTGTTGAGTCGTTTGTTTCTCTCTACAAATTTTGCCTGAGCTGGTAAAAAGCCTGTCACAGACGTGGGTCTCCTGGAGACACTTGGCATCAGAGCACTGAGACAGAGTTTATGGGTATGGCATCCCATGGCATCAGCCTGGGCTGGTGGCTGCTCTCTTGCATTGGGATCTCCTGCCCTGGCTCTGTGCCCGAAGTTGGTTTGGGAAAGGCCATTGGCCTTTTCCCTGCAGTGCACTGTCCTGGCGGGGCATCACTGGAGCACCCCTGAGGTCAGCCAGAGGGTGAGCTATGGAGTGGGCAGCAGGGACCCATGAGGCAAGTCCAGGGCAATAATGGAGAGGAAAAGGGGAGAAGCCTGAGCCTCCCTCCAGCTGCAGAGGTCTCCTTCCTTTTCACCATCTTCTGGATCCTCACCAGAGGCTGTCCCCCTCCTGGGGAGGAATGATCCCAGCTACAGAAAAATATCTTGACATTTTTCTGGGCATGCTCATGTGGCCATCCCAAAATGGGAATTTGATGTTCTGAGTGGACTGGGGCTTAGGAAAAATGAAACGATGATTTTTATTTGGTGCTAGCAAGAAAGTCTGTGGGAAAGGTGGTCCTGCAGAGCAAGGAGCTGTGCCTCTGACAGCTGTGGGGTTGATCCCAGCCCAGACAGCTGCAGCTGGGTCACAAGTGGTCTCCATTGGTGCAGATGTCTGGTCCTAAGTAGCCTGTGGTGTTCCAGAGGCTGGCCTGTTCCAAGGACTACACAGGACATGAAATGATGGATTTGTGGCTGGTGACAGTGCCTCTCTGCAGGACCAGGTGCAGCTGATAGTGTCTAGGTCTGCAGTGCTTGGGTCAGCCTAACCATGCCTGTCCTGGGTGTCCAAACCAAGGTAGCCTCCTTGCTTCAGTCCAAATGGAGTATTTGGCATTGAGAAGGGGACTAGACATCAGGCAGCCTTTGCAGGAAGGCTTGGGTTGTTCAGGATGTGAGTACTTTGGCCTTGGGGTGTATGTCAGTGAAGGCAGATCATGCAGTCTGTTCTCAGCAGGTAGTTTGTGCCCCTGGGTCACCAAGCTGGCTGCCCTTTCGTGGAATGACTTTCTCCATCCTTGGAAGCATCTGCATCTCAGCTGTGGTGGGCAGTGGCACTAAGTGTCTCAGACCAGCAGTTGGAATGTGGGGTTTATGCAGTCCTTTGCCTGTGTCTTTTGTGCCTCTGGGGAAACTCGAGCCTGGGGCTGGGCAGCACTTGTTCAAAATCGTTTCTTTTGTGTGGATGATCTCATCCCATTTACCTTACCTCAGGGAAGTATCACAGATGGAAAGCTTCCTCGCTGGGAGCAAACCACTTGCTAGCTGGGCAAAGCTGTGAAGAAACATGTTTGTGACTGGATTATCCCAGAACTCTCTGTTGGGGGCTCTGTTGGTGAGACTGGCTGTGCCAGTGGCTGCTGGAGTCTGAATGAGCAGTCAGGCAGCATTTGCTGCAGTGTTGCAGCAGTGCTGCAGCTCATGCCCTCCAGCCTGCACTCTCCTCCCAGCTCCCTGCTGGGGTGGCCAGAGCCACAGGATGTGGGCAGCAGAGCCGAAGGATGCTCAGGCAGAAATGTGGAGGGCTGTAGAGGCAGAAGGAGAGCAGTCAACAGAAAAAGCTCATGCTTAACAAAATACTTCATCATAAAAGTGGGCCCTGGTGGGAATAATTAGCTTCCCATTCAAAGTTGTACTTTCTAAGCTCACTGTCAAATGCAGTTTGCTGAAAATGCACTAGACCATCCTGCCACTGCTGCATGAATTCCTCAGTGCCACTAGCTGTGGATGTACAGGTCATGCATGTTTTATTAAGGATCTCTGAGTGACTTTAGGTTAGTAAATCTTCACAGGGGCAGCCTGATTTGTTGTGGACAGTGGGATGTAGAGCAGGGTCTCTCCTTAGCTGGTGCTGGGAAGCATATTGACATTTTGCTTGGACTGGAGAGAGCATCCTCTAGGATCTGCAAGGCATCAGACTAACCATAGCACATGGGTGTGTTTCAGGGTTTGTGTATTTTGTGGCTGGCTGGAGGCCTGGTACACCTTTTGAGGCGTGATCACTAACACCCAAAAGCGACAGCCTGGCAGCTGTGTGCTATTGCAGGACCTCCTTCCCGCCACACTGGTCTGGGTCTCTCTTCCTTCTCAAATACACAAGCTGGTACTTTAAAAGTTGCTTTGTTTTGTGATCAGAAGTAAATAAGAGAATAAAAGCCAATTTTGGCAGTACTAGTCTGCTGTTTAAATAATTACTGACGATGGCAGAGAATCCCGGGTAGCACACGTTGGGAAAAACACAACCGCTTGCAGGCACATGCACAATTGCTTAACATTAAAACCTGAATTGCTTGAGCCTCAGGCAGTCTGAGACACTGCCACTGCAGACTTGTTTTCTGTGTTTTGTGGGAAGTTTCACCAAGTTTGTGACCTTATTTGTGTGGATTAGTGGGATCACGTGCAGGTGGACTTGTGTCTTTATCTGTGCATTCACATGGCTAGAGAAGGTAGAATATTCAAAAAATTTGACAGATTTCTTAAGCCAAAGAAATACCTGTATATACATTAGGGAACTTGGGCCAGGACTAATAGTAGCAGATGTCAGAGGAGCAGTATGCTGCCTTGCAGCTTCCCTGCTTTTACTGAGGTTGCTGCAGCAAGGAGTGCTGAACAACAGAGGCAAATGGCATAAGAGAAAAATAAGTTTTAGCTATGAGCTGTTCAGGTCTGCACGTGCTGTGACGGGGCTTCCTTCCTGGGCAGGTGTTGTAAGCTCATGCTGGTGGCAGCTGGAACCAGCATTACCAAGCCTTTTTCATGTCCTCTAGCAGGAGCATGAGGAGTGTGAGAGCAAATAATATGACCCAAGCAATAGATCTCTGTCTCAGCAAGTTGCACAGAGGGCCAGTTGCTTAGGGTAGGAATAAATACATTTCTGCTGAGCTAAAATGTATCTGCTTTTCTTGATTTAAATCAAGAAAATAAATCCCATACACTGAAAGTATTTGTCAGCACTGTCAGGAGATGCCCACAATGTGGTTCTGGGGTTTCCACTTGCAGAGCTGAATTGTTACTTTATGTCACACCCTTCTGAACTCCGAAGTGCAAAACCTTCCAATACTGGCATGTCCTTCGACAACCAGCACATACTCCCGTGCCCATTAGGTATCCATGTTTGTGTCCTTAGAATCTCAATTCTGCTTGCCTGAGAGGAGAGAAGCAAGCAAATCTGTCACCAGCTAAAAAAGGAAGGCAATTTTTGGGGAAACAGGCAGGCAGAGGAACCCTGCTGCATTCCAGATATTCCTGAGAACAAGGGAGGGAGCCCTGGGACGTGAAGTGACAGTGAAGAGTGCAGAAGTCCTTGTTTCCATCACTAGGCAAAGAGATTTCTGACTGGGAGAGTCTGTCACCCTTGCTGGCAGACATCCCTTCAGACTGGATGTGCATTTGTGTCATCCCTTCCCCAGCAAGAAACGGCCCCACTGGCTTAGTGTTCCCTGGGTGTCCATGCTCGTTTGCACACCATTGCTTATAACTCCATGCTTTCCAGCCTGCCTGTGTTGATGGCTCTCTCTGAAGGTCATTCTGGCTTCTTCATGGTTGTCATTCTGATGCAAGGGAGGGCACAGGAGAGAAGTTTGTGCTTCACACCTGCCTTGTCTCCTTGCCCTCAGGTATGTCATCATCTCCCGGGAGGAGAGGGAGCAGAACCTGATGGCCTTTCAGCACAGCGAGAGGATTTACTTCCGTGCCTGCCGTGACATCCACCCTGGGGAGAAGCTGCGGGTCTGGTACAGTGAGGATTACATGAAGAGGTTGCATAGTATGTCCCAGGAAACCATCAACAATTTCACAAGTGGTGAGTCCTCCCTTTCCATCCTTTCTCCTGATCCCCTTGGGCTGCCCCACAGTTGGGCTCAGTGTGGTGGGTGAAGTAGGTTTTGCAGAGCCTGTGTGAGGAGAACTGCATTTCTAGAAGCAGAGCACCTCTGAATGAGAGCCCCCAGCTCTGCCTGGCATAGATGGATGGATGTACAAGGAGAATAAGATACCCACAGTCATGGAGATCATGAAAGAAAGATTTGTGCTGTGATGTGTCATGTCATGTTGTGTTGTGCCATGTTGTGTGTATATGTGTGCTGCAAGAGCCTGATGAAATGCCCAGGGACCACAGAGGACCCCTGTCACAAGACTTTGTGGCCTGAAGATTACCAAGCTGATGATCCTACAAGACAGCATTAGGTTTTTCTCCTGAACATGCTGCTCTCTCTGGCTCCTGTGTGCAGCCTGTGTGAGGGAGCTCTGGCTGGTTTTGTGTCCATATGAATGAGATTTCCTTGGTGTGTTTGAATGTCCATTTTCCTCGTTTAATTTATCTCCTCTTTCTTCAGAAAGATAATTTGGGATCAGCGCGACATCAGCTCCCTAGTCTCACAACCTTAGAATGTGTATACAACGTACAGGAGGCTTTGTACTTGTCAGACTGATTCTTCCTTGCATAAAAATTGTTAACTTGTCTAAAGAGTAGCAATGTTGAAACCAACCCAGCAGTCCTTTGGGCCCACATATTGTCAGCAGTATAGGAAGCTTTAGAGGAAAGCAAAAGTTCTTAATGCATCTGTTCATCTGTACGATGCTGATACCTGAAGTTAATTAGGAGCATTTCTTTCCAGGCTAGATGCAGAATGGCAGGGCCTCAGAGGGGCAGCCACACTAAATATAACTTTGTAATTACAATTCCTGAGTATATTATTACACAGCTGCTGTTGCTGCCTTGACTTGGTAAAAGGTGTCTCCTCTTCAGTCATGGGGTGGACAAGATGTCCTGAAAAAGCTGGTTATCTCTGTCACCTTAGGGTTGTTATGCACTTGCAGTGTTACATCTTGGTGGCTGTACTTGGGCAATTCCCACTTCTGAATTAACATTGGTATGAATTTGCTTTTTTATGTTAATGAGCACCAGTGAGTGATTAGCTACAGGCTGCAGTGATTTTGCTGCAATAACATGCACACATTAGTCATCCACATGGCTTAGTGCTTTCTGAAAGTACAGCAAAAGACAGTCTGTGCCCCTGGAGCAACTGCTCTACAGGGGCACCGAGGCTACAAGCTATTGCCCTGCCATGCAGACATGCCTTTAGTCCTGGTTTGTCATGGTGTCATGATTTGTGGGAGCTGAAATGGTAACTCACAGCCTGCTCTGTGCTACAAATGTGGTGAAGATCTGCCTCAGGACTCTCCAGAACCTGCCACAGCCTAATGCACCCTCAGGTGGAAACTGATGTGGCTACGGAGACCATTCCAGAAAGCCCCTGACATCTTGGTGAGCTCATCCTGCTGCAAGCTGGGCTCAGCCTGCCTTCACCAAAGGGGCACAGAGGTGTTATTAAAACGGAGCATCACCTGAGCCATTGCTTGACTTGTGAGAGACATCGAAGCCTCAGCTGGGAGGGCACTGGGAGGTGGTCAGGAAGCAGCACAAAAATCTATTGAATCACTTTCAATTTAAAAAATTTCAAATCCCTGCTGATGAATCTGTCAAATGAAGTGGCATACTTTATGAACTCACAAAAAAATAACAGTTCCTGGGTTTTGTTTCCGTTGATATTTTCTGACCAGCCTCATCATTGGAGTTGAGACCAATAATATGAGGGATCGTCTTGTGATTTCTGGCTTTTCCATAGGGCTGAAGCACTCGGCTGGTTGGGGGAAAAATCACTGAGAAAGAAGAACCTGTTCTCTAAATCCCTACTTCTCACAGTAGTTGCTGTGGTCCATAACAGGGGAAATACTAAGAGAGAGACTGAAAGCTTTGTCCCTAGAAATTCTCATCAATGTGTTGAAAAGGAGATCTGTTGTTCTGGATTCACTAAAGAAGTGGCTAGGTTTCCCAGCCAGCATCCAAACCCAGTGCAAAATCCCATCCATTCAGGCCAGCCCTTTTTACAGTGCCTTATTCTAACTTTCGAGTCTTGAATCTTTTCTGCATTCTTAGCATTGCTCTCCTTAGAGAGGGAATGGTAGCTTTTGCTCCATAACTCTTATGAAAGCATGAATACACTTTAAGCAAACAAAACCAAAAATCAGCATAAAGCAGCGTCTTGTTTGGGAAGCCATCAATGCTTGAAGTTATTTACAAGATAGAAGAGTGATGGAAATTGAGCCAAACCTATCGTCTTTTGAATTTCCAGGTAAGGAAATCTGGCTATTCCCTTTATTTTAAGCAATTAATAATTTGTGTGAGGTTGCTTTTAATATATTTTTTTTTGATTACTGAATGGTCGTGCTCTCATACATCACCAGGACAAGCTAGATGTCCCATCCTTGGAGGGCATTCACCCGTTGTAGCTCAGTTGACAATGTATACTTTAGGTTTTAAGTGTGCAAGTTGTTTTTACTCCTTTACCTTTGCATTTCTGGAGCAGCCTCCAAACTGAACGAGAGTAAAGGGGCTTGCAAACTTTGTGCCATGGCATGCACAGACACTGGCGTTATCATGAAATGGTGTAAATCTCTCACTGCACTGCTGTACACTTGATACCTTTTACCAAGTCAAAACAGGCACAGGACTTCCAGCCAGCCAAAATGGCACTTAGGCTCTGGGTATAGTTTCCACCATGGTCAATCATTTACCTCATAGTCCTCTTCCAACGCAGGTTGGTTATACCTTTAGGTTAAACAAGCTGCCTGTAGTTTCTCTTCTCTTTGAAGTGTGTGGGTTCTGCTCTGCTGTGGTTACCCAGGACTGTCTCTGTTTTTGCAGACATGCCTATTAGCAGGGCTTCTCCTCTTGCAAGCCTCAGTTTCCACTGAGTTGTGTCAGTTCCCTGGCTTGTAACATAACATGCAGACCTGCAGGGATTCAGTCTGCCTTTTTGTTCTTTTTTGTTTGAGTTTGAGATTGAGGGATGTTGCTCGGTTCTCAGTGATAATCCCCACCCCTCATTTTCCATTCTAGGAGATAAAATGTTACAGAACGACAAGTCAGAAAATAATGTAGAAAATCAAGAGGATGCAAGGGGAGCACTCCAGTTCACTACCTTAAAGCAGGGGAAGAGCCCCTACAAGCGCAGCTGTGACGAGGGGGAATCCCACTCCCAAACAAAGAAAAAAAAAATTGACCTCATCTTCAAAGATGTCCTGGAGGCTTCTTTGGAGTCTGCCAAGTTTGAAGAGAACCAGTTAGCAACAAGTACACCACTTTCCCTCAGAAGAGCATCTAAATACCAGGCTGAAGACATCTTTGAGCAGTGTGGCAGTGCCATGCAGCATGGCTCCCTGAGCCTCAGCAGAAATCAGAGTGAGAGGGAATGGAAGGTCCCTCACAGCTCCTCTTTCATCTCAGCCAAGGAGATGAGCATCCTTGAAGATGAGGAAGAAGAGCCTCTGTCACTTAAAGCAGACAGCCCAACCGAGCTGTCACTGGTTTCTGCACAAGGCAACTCTCATGAAATCCCCACCACATCCTTCTGCCCCAACTGCATCCGGCTGAAGAAGAAAATCCGGGAGCTGCAGGCTGAGTTAGACATGCTGAGATCTGGGAAGTTAACCGAGGCACCCGTGTTACCGCCCCAGGTACCTGAGCTCCAAGAGTTCTCAGACCCCACAGGTAAGCTTTGCCGAGTTAGAGCATTCTCCAAACCCTGCCTAAGGAGAGTAGTGAGAGGCCTGTGTGCTGTGTACCCATCTAAAGCATTTTGCTCTGAGTATTCAGGTGAACCTGTGGTTCCATGGAAGGTTCTTTGTCAGGTTTTGTGACTGGGTGGGCCAGGAGCTGATCCTGTGGGTACAGTGGAAAACACTGTCTGGGAAAGACTCTGTATGACAATTTGCTTTATTTGTTGTCATTGTAATTGATAATGCACTGCCAATAAAAAAGACATTCCATTGCAGACGGTTTGTTTGCTGTATTTTTGATGCATTCTCTTTCAGCGGAAGCCCCTCCACAGTGCCTCACATGCTACCAAGAAAGTATGAATGACTCTGTGGTAACGCTGAAATGTGCTCTCTTTGTGTATGAAATTATGTCCTGCTGTGTCCCTTGTTGGAAATCTCTCTCTGTTTCCTCCACTGCCTTAACACAACCATGTGTCCCTTTCTGAAGATACATTTCATTTCCTCCAGGAACACACTGTCAAGCAGCCAGGAGCCTTCAGTAAAAGGAATATTTGGGTCACACAGCATGTTGTTCAAGTGGCCAGGATGTAGTGTCCTTTTTTGCCGTTCATTGTGGCATGCTGGAGACAAAGTTCTTATGCAGAAATATTGATTTCTTTTCCTTTCAAAGTCATGATTCAAATTCTATCCATAATGTGTTGTGGGCAGGAGAAGAGCAGATGTGGCCAGCTCTTTGGGCAATGCTCTACTGTCACCAGTAGGATGCTTCTCTAGCTCAGCAACTTTGTAAATACCATATTTTTTTTCTTTTTTTTTTCTTTTTTTTTATTTTTTGTTGCAGCTTCAGAAAGCATCATCTCAGTTCCCACCATCATGGAGGACGATGACCAAGAGGTGGATTCTGCTGATGAGTCAGTTTCCAATGACATGATTGCTGCTACAGATGAGCCTTCCAAGATGTCTTCTGCGACGGGCCGGAGGATACGGCGGTTCAAGCAAGAGTGGCTTAAAAAGTTTTGGTTTCTGCGGTACTCCCCAACACTGAATGAGATGTGGTGCCATGTCTGTAGGCAGTACACAGTGCAATCTTCTCGGACTTCAGCCTTCATCATTGGCTCTAAGCAGTTCAAGATACACACGATAAAGCTTCACAGCCAGAGCAACCTGCACAAGAAGTGCCTGCAGCTTTACAAGCTCAGGATGCACCCAGAGAAGACAGAAGAGATGTGCCGAAATATGACCCTGCTCTTCAATACAGCCTACCACCTGGCCCTGGAGGGCAGGCCCTACTACGACTTTCGGCCTCTGGCAGAACTGCTGAGAAAGTGTGAACTCAAGGTGGTGGATCAGTACATGAATGAAGGAGACTGCCAGATCCTAATTCACCATATCGCCCGGGCTCTCCGAGAGGACCTGGTTGAGCGCATCCGGCAGTCTCCCTTCCTCAGCATCATTCTGGATGGGCAGAGCGACGACCTGCTTGCAGATACAGTCGCGGTCTATGTGCAGTACACCAGCAGCGATGGGCCTCCAGCAACTGAATTCCTGTCTCTTCAGGAACTCGGCTTTTCTACGACAGACAGTTACCTCCAAGCATTAGACCGGGCTTTTTCCAGCCTGGGAATACGATTGCAGGATGAGAAGCCAACTATCGGCTTGGGAGTTGATGGTGCTAACATTACCGCCAGCCTGAGAGCCAATTTGTTCATGACAATCAGAAAGACCTTGCCCTGGCTTCTCTGCCTTCCCTTTATGGTGCATAGGCCCCACCTGGAAATTTTGGATGCCATTAGTGGGAAGGAACTACCCTGTCTGGAGGAGCTAGAAAACAATTTGAAGCAACTGCTCAGTTTCTATCGTTATTCTCCCCGACTCATGTGCGAGTTAAGGCTCACTGCTGCCACTCTGTGTGAGGAGACCGAGTTCCTGGGGGACATTCGAGCAGTGAAATGGATCATTGGGGAGCAGAACGTGCTCAACGCTCTCATCAAGGATTACCTTGAGGTTGTGGCCCATCTCAAAGATGTCAGTGGCCAGACCCAAAGGGCAGATGCTTCTGCCATTGCCTTGGCCCTCCTGCAGTTCCTGATGGACTACCAGTCGATTAAACTCATCTACTTCCTGCTGGATGTGATTGCTGTGCTTTCACGCCTTGCCTACGTCTTCCAAGGGGAGTACCTCCTTGTGTCACAGGTGGACGATAAAATAGAGGAGGCCATCCAGGAGATCAGCCGGCTAGCAGACTCCCCTGGGGAGTACTTGCAGGAGTTTGAGGAAAACTTCCGTGAAAGCTTTAATGGTATTGCTGTGAAAAATCTACGGGTGGCTGAAGCCAAATTCCAGTCGATCAGAGAAAAGATCTGCCAGAAGACCCAGGTGATCCTAGCCCAAAGGTTTGATTCTCGCAGCCGGACATTTGTGAAGGCCTGTCAGGTATTTGACCTTGCAGCTTGGCCCAGAAGCACTGATGAGCTCATGAGCTATGGGAAGGAGGATATGGTACAAATATTTGAACACCTGGAGACAGTCCCATCATTTTCCAGAGAGGTTTGCAGGGAGGGGATGGACACCCGAGGGAGTCTGCTGATGGAGTGGCGAGAACTCAAGGTGGATTATTATACCAAAAACGGTTTTAAAGACTTGCTCAGTCACATTTGTAAATACAAACAGAGATTTCCCCTCCTAAATAAAATAGTTCAGATCCTCAAAGTCCTTCCCACCTCTTCGGCCTGCTGTGAGAAGGGGCGCACCGCCCTGCAGAGAGTGCGCAAGAACCACCGCTCTCGGCTGACGCTGGAGCAGCTCAGTGACCTGTTGACAATTGCTGTTAACGGGCCACCCATTGCCAACTTCGACTGCAAAAGGGCACTCGATAGCTGGTTCGAGGAGAAGTCGGGCAATAGTTACGCGCTCTCGGCCGAAATGCTGAGCAGGATGTCATCTCTTGACCAGAAGCCGATGTTGCAGAGCATGGACCATGGCTCTGAGTTTTACCCTGATATTTAGGAAGGAATGCCTCAGATCAGATAATTTTTTTAATCTATACTCTAAACTTTGATATATTATATAAAATATATATATATTATCTATATTAAGGAAAAACCCACACTGAAAATTTAAAAGTTAAGACGATGTACGTCTGATAGAAGCTAAGCAGAATTTTAAAGATTGAGACAATGTTTAGACATTTACTGGTGTCTCCAACCATGGCAGCTGCAATGTAGGTGGCAACATTTCATTCTTTAGAAGCATGTGCTGGGGCCATACTCTACATGTTCAAACCTAACAACCTATAAGCTAGACAACGGGTCTTTGTCAGCCTCATCCTCCCAGCGGTTTCCTTTGTATGTGTGTTGTCGGTTTGCTGGGTTGTTTTTTGTTTTGTTCTGTTTTGTTTCGGGGTTGTTTGTTTGTTTGTTTTCTCCTCAGTTTCAATCTCTGCCTCTCTTTCCATTGTTCAGCCCAGTTATTGAGCCATTTCAGCCTTTTGTTGGCAACCGTCAGATTTCTGATTTCCGACAGAGCATCCCGTGTGTTTATGTTGCCCCCAGCTCTACCCAGGTCTCCTCAGCTGAGTGGAAGCTTTCTTCACTCAAAAGATTACTGACAGGAGAGAAGGGCTGGGGGTATGATTTTGGGTTTTTATTCTGATTTAGATACAAATGCCTCCACTAAACTGTGATGCCCCTTTCTCAGTTCTCCCTACCTTTGGGCTGTAGAGTAATACTTGGCTTTCAGCTCCTTTTATGATAACCATAGTACCAGTCTATCATACGTATGTTATAACATGATGTCATGTGCAGACTATAAAATAGCAAAATAGAGAAGGCAGGGGGAAATTTTTGCATTTATATTTTTATATTGTATGAGATAAATATATATATATATATACAATTATTCATTCAAAACCAGGGCTGCTGTGGAAGCTAGACAGCCAATGAGTCGAGAGCCACCTCTGGGCGCAGATTCAAAGGCTTAAAAAATTATATTCTAATTTACATTATTTATACTATGTCTTTATAATCCTAGATTGTTGTGGGGTTTTTGTTTTGTTTTGTTTTGTTTGGAATGACTGAAAGAAAAAACCTGCTGCAGTTTGGTGGCAGGAGCTATCAATGCAAGATTATCTTGGATTATATTCATGTGTGATGTCCTACAAAGGTTCACTTACTCTCTTGTGACCAAGGTAACATGTTCCACAGCACAGCAGACTGATGACAGCAGGAAGAAGGGATGTTCTGCTTCTTCCTGCGAAATATTTCTTCCTTTCTTGAAGGAATGCAGAATCCAGCTGAAATGTGAATGGGGGACTTGCACCTTCCATCACAAAGAGATTGTTTTATGGGCTTGGGGCTCTTCTTTGTTTTGTTCTTTTAAAGTAAACAAGCTCCAGGCATCCACACAATATCACTTCAGGTTAGAAAAGAGAAAAAAAAAAAAAAAAACCAGCCACCCCGCGAACCAAACCCTGCAACAACAAACCAAGCAAAACCGGTGCAGCAAGGCACCGAAAAACACAAAAAAACAACGAGAAAAATACAAAAAAAACACAGAAAACCACAAAAAAACAGCGAGAAAAAAAAAAAAACACAGAAAAACCCCAACCAACCAACCAACCAACCAACCAACCAAAAAAAACACATCACACAAACAAAAAAGGTGCAAAAACTCCACAGATGCTAGTGCCTTGCCCTGCTGATGTGGCATGGACAGCACCAACCTGACCAGACCATCGTGGGAGTGAGATGTGTTGTCCAAAAGGTGTCCAAGCTAACATGTTCTCACTTCCCAGAGGGATGAGCTTTGTGCCAAGCTGTGTTGTTTGGAAACATGATGGTGGTATCAGCAACACTGAACCTTTCCTTTCTCCTGTTACCCCCCTGCCCTTGGTCTTGGTGCTAAGATATCTCTAGAACCGTTGCTGCTAGTTGATAGCTTTTCATTTATATAAATATATATATATATATATAATATTATTTTATTTTTTAAACTTTTTTGTTTGTTTTCAATGGAGATGTAGCATGTTTGGAACCGATCTCTCTCTGAGTCACTTTCACTGCCAGGGTTCACGCACTGTCTTCCCCAGGAAAACACACACTTCTACCTAGGTCTCACTCACCTCCTGCTAACCCCTTTGCCTTCAGCAGAACTTCACAGCCAGCGCTGGCAGAGGTGTGCAGCCAAGCCTCTACAGACTGGTTCAGCTTTCAGACCCCACAGGAGCAGCTAGGCTGGTGTTGGTCAGGGTTTTGGAAGTGTTTGCCTCTGTCCCTGTGGGACTGAGGAGGGACTGAGGCCACCCAAAGCACGAGTGGTGGCCTGTCCTTGTGTCCTGACACTGCCCCTTCGCTGTCAAACAGGGCCTTTCAGTCAGATGGTGCGGGCAGAGTAGAACAGACCCTGTGAATGTAGCAGCGAGGGCTGGTCAGCACCCTCTGTAGCACTTACCCTTGCCTTACCTCTGACAGCACGTGCAGCCTGAGGCTGGCTAGGGCAGGAGAGGGCACCTGTGCCAGGGCCACCCACCTGCTGCCACACTGCCGCCAGGGGTGCTCTTCCTTGTGGTCCTCATGGAAATGTCACAAGCTAGGTCAGGGCATCACGCAGTTGCAACACAGGGGCATTGATATAACACACCTAGCAAGCGTGAAAAATGGCTTTTTTTCATGTTTTCCTGCATTTGATGCATGTGATTGAGTTGATCCATTCATCCAGAGGAGTAAAAATTAAACTAGAAAGCCTCTGCCAGCTGTGCAGCCTCGGGTGGTTGTTTGCCTGACCATATAGTAGGGACCTGTCTACACAAGCTGCTTGTAGCTCTCCAGGCGTGGTGAATTGGGTCTGCTCAGGGTGCTGCCACAATGCTCTGGAACTGCTGCCTGCAGGGTGGTGGCAGGCTCCCTTCCTTTTTAAAACTTGAGGAGACGTAAAAAGATAAAAATGGTTGAAAAACTGCTGCTCCATTAGCTTCTGACTGGAGATGGGCGAGGTGAACATAGATCATAAATCCCATAGAACTCCATAGCTCATTGTGGGTGGAAAAGAAACATCACCTGCCTTTCTGTTTGCAGCAGCAAAAGCTCTTTGGCACAGAGGCCCATCAAAGTGCCTGGCCCACATGAAGGGGACAGTCTCCAGTCACCTTTGGAGAGAGGGATGCTCCCCCAGGGCTTGTGCTGAGCAGCCCAAGAGGCCTGTTTACAACTCCTGACCCAAGCCTCCTAACTTTGGCCACTGGGGAGGAAATGGCAAGGTAAGAGTTGCCAGAGGCCTGTTCAGAAATTATTCTTCCAATTTGTCACTACTTCCCTTTGGTTCACTTGCAAATCCTGCTTTCATCAGTGACACCTTTTACTGGCAGCTCTTATTTCTAATGGTGCAGTGAAATGTGCAGCATGTGGTGATTTTCTCTGGCAGCCAGCTGACACAGGCAGAGCACTTGTTCCTTTAGCAAATAACTTTGCTTGCAAACTGATTCCCTGCCACTGGATTTTGTGGATACTCGTGATGGGAAAGGTCAGAGACACCTTACATTGGTGATGGGGATAGACAAGAGCTTGGCAGAGCAGCTGGCCCAGCCCAGCCCATCCCAGCTCCTCCAACACAATTCCCTGTTACCTGCACGTCAGAAAATAAGCCTGGCCTTTGTCCTAGTGTAATGCAGGTGCTTTGCAAGCTTTCTCTCCAGGTTAACCTGCCTATCTCAGATCTGTAGCTCTTACTTTCGTGGGTAGTCTGTGGATGGAAACTTGACTACCAACATGGACAAGATAGGGAGAGGGGAGGAATATCAATGCAAAGCACCCCTGGCTTCCTGGGGCTCTCGAGCCTGTCCCAGAAGCAGGTTCATTTCTGTGCCCTGTTTGTCTGGTGGCCTGCCACAGCCTGGTGGCAGAGAGGCCAGGAGGCAGAGCAGGCATGGGGAGGGCTTAGCAGGGTGCTGAGGGAGGCCTCCATGGCTCCAAGATTGCCATGCATCAGGTTTAATCAATGCCTTTCCTGCTGTGCTGAGAGAGCAAGAGGAGTTGTTTGGAACGTGTTGCTCACAGCATCTTGAACTGGTTAGGCTGCAAAGACAGAGGGTTCAGTTTTTCTTGAATGAGCTCTTTATTGTCTCCTTCCCCTGCATCTTAGCTATGGCATCTGACTGTGAATAATGCACACTTCTCCAGACCCTCGGGTTTGTATTTCTAGCCCGTGGGATTTTGATTGCCAATTTCCCTTCCCCACTTTTTGCTCAGGCTCCTTGCCTCTTTTACCCTGCTGTGAAGCAGAAATCTGTGAAGCACATTTAGACATGCCCTTCTGCAGGGCTCACCTGTGTCCACAGGGGTCCGGGCCCTCCAGCCACGAGACCGACCTCAGCAGGGATAATCCTCACAAGAGACCAAAGCTCTTCCCATACCAGCAAAAGCACACTGAAGTTACGGGGGGCTGCGAGGGGACACGGTGGGCAGGGTCCTCGTGTGGTGTCTGCCTTGGGTCTTGAGCCAACTGCAGCATTGTCCCTCGTGCTGGTCGTGCTTTTGCTGGTATGACTGTTCAGGCATGATTCAGGCTCAGTCCATCTCTTTCTCACAGCACAAACTCAACCAGATGGCCCGCGGGGTCTTTGGAGTCCCCCTCCCCTCTTATCTCATGAGGATTGCTATTTGTTTGACCAGTGCCTAGACAGCTGGCTTGCAAGTAAGCAGCAACAGCCTCTGCTTTTGCAGATTCCCCTCTCAGCCCTGTTAAAAGAGGTCTTAAAAGCAGAGAAATGGTACGTTAATCCCCCAGCCATTGTATCCAATGCAGTAATGCCTATGCAATTCCTGTCTCCCTTGGAGACAAGTATGATGTGTGTGCATGTAAGCTAGTGTATGTATACAGTACATATGCATATGGTCTATATATTGTATATACGCACATCCCAGTACATATACACACAGTAAAAAAGATTAAAATCACATGCTTATATATCTATAAATGAAATCCTATATATTTATATATTTCTATGTTTTCGATAGATATAAAGATATAATATAGAGATAGACTCAACCACCCTTGTGTAAGGCTGGCCCTGTGTTCTAGCACAAGGCACGG